TCGGTTTTCTATGCTATGATCATAGGGATCGTATTCCACAGGGTTTTCCTACCTTACAACTTTCGCACGTATCAAAGAGATGGCGCAAGCTTTCGTTGGGTACTTCGCATCTTTGGTCTCATATCTGGTTCAGTTGTACTGGATGGTCAAAGGAGCGTATAATGGCGTATATAGATCGCTCGGGTACTGCGCCGCTTGATATCGTTTTCGGCGGGCGTGACCAAAGTAATCAGTGTACGACTCGGACACGCCGTGTGGTCAAAGCACTCTCTATGTTGGAACCGGTGCATCACAGATGCAGGTCCATATTGTTGGAATGCAGCAGCTTGGACCCTGCGTATTGCCTTACAGAAACGTTGAATGATTCCTCCAACTCTTTTCCAGTTCTTACCTCTGTGGGTATAGCGGTGACGCACGAGCGCTTTTCCTACGCATCCTTTCCATTTGCGGATCGAGACGAAGCTCAAGGTCGGGTGATTTCCAGCATTTCACCCAGCCTCGTGAGGAATATCTCCTTGCAATGCATGCCTCTTTTGAGCCTGCCGTTGCATTTCTTCCTATATCTGAAGACTTTAGAGATTTCACTTCCAAATGCTTTGCCTAATCGCGAAGCTCCCGTGTATGCCTCTCATTTTCTGACAAGGCTTTCTTATACTCATCAACTCGAGGAGCTTACCCTTTCAAACGTGGCAATTACGTTCGACGTGGGTGCGACTTCCGATCCGACGTCTGTTCGCAGGACGACCCGTCCTGGTATCTTGAAGATTCCGGCATTGCCTCGTTTGAGACATCTAACTTGGAGCTTCCCGCCTCCGAAGCAAATACCTCGGTTTCTCTCCCTTCTTTCTCTTCCAAACCTCGAAAAACTCGACCTGTGGATTGATGCTTTCAGTCCTAACGAATCTACTTCCGAATCTCAACGAACTTTGGACGCTCGTCTTCATTATCCACGTCTTCGGGAACTTTGTTTACAGTGCATGCATCCCGATACTCTCAGTTCAGCTTTGCGAACTTTGACGTTCCCCGATTTGAGGAGATTGGAAATCGTGGACGTCGAGTCCCGAGCACAAAGACAAGATCACGATGGAGAAATAAAGGCTAATCTTGCCGTTTTCCCTCGCTTTGAGTCTATTTTGCATGAGCCTCGTCTGCTACGGTTGTCTAGTCTGATTCTTTCAGATTTTTCCATTTCCCTCGACTGGGGATCGGAGATGCTGGGTTATATCCCGGCGCTCGAGTCGCTTACACTAGAAGGTTGCAATAATGCATCGGTGCTTATCTCTGCGCTTGCACAGCGAGTACCACCGGTTAGGTCCACTACTGGCATTCCTGCACAGTCCACCTATCGGCTCCTACGCTTTTGTCCCAGATTACAAGTCTTGTCTCTTATTGACTGTGCTTTTCCCTTTAAGGTGCTGGAGGGAACAATCAAAGCTCGGAATGGAAATGATTTGGAGGACGTAAAGCCCGATGCTAGAGGCGGGAAGAAATCCAAACAACCAGTTCGTGAGAGGGTGATACGACCCCTCCCGGGCAAAGGAGGTCGTCTCCAGAGACCCAGTGCTGTATTTGGAATGGAAGATGAATGTGAAGGAGGGTCTGGAAGTTTGGCTGTTCGAATGGCAGAGATGATTCTAGATGTCGAGCCAACTCGTATCTCCTACGTGCAGATTCTTGGGTGTGACCTTGTCTCCTTTCAGGAAGCTGATTCTCTTGAGGAATACGGAATTGAAGTCGTTTGGGGCGGTCGTAGTTGATTATATATCTTCTAGTCTCGAACGATTTAGCTATACAGAAACAACACGATAATAGAAAGTTCAACGTTGTGCGAAATAACATATAATTAAGTCGTTTGATGGGTCTCCCAAACGCTTCCCTGCTCTGGATGATGACGCTGTGATAGAAGTCATTTGTACTTATACCTATAGCAATATTATCGATGCCCACTCACCTCTGGTTGGATATCCATTTCCTTCAGAGCGTTTAAAATAGCCTTTGGACAAAGGTCTTCAGGAGTCACCAGAAAATCGGATGAATGAACCTCCTCACCTCTCCGGTCCAATGCTCCAGCGTTGAAACTTGTTCTGGAGTGATAAAGTCTTGAGACATTCTGGATGCGAAAACCATTTGAGCGGCAGAAACTTTGATAAAGGTGTCAGGCCCGGCAAGAGGTGTAATGGAGACTGGTTGAGATGCTGGCTCGCCATCGCTGGAAGGTCTGACAGGCCCCGTGGCCAATGGCGGAGGCTTGGTTGTTTCTGAAGATTTACGCCCACTCCAGCAAGCCGCCAAATGATACAGATGATGAGTTTCCATCTGACGAGGTACAGTGAGGAGGATTGTTCGACGTATTGGGTGGAGCACGTACTTCTAAAGTTGCAAGGTCTTTGACTTTGTGAAGTAAATCCTGAATGAGATTCTCGTTTGCGTCAGGGAACGATGTTTGCCGTCCTTGAGACGAATAGAAACTGTGCTCGATATACTGGGTCAGCGTATTGACTTCAACTTATCACACTCCTTCACACCTATCAGCAGAAGCATTGACCACGTCCGACAGAACGACGGTGTTTGAATGGGTTGGCCGAGTACTTTCTAAAGATTTCTTCACCTATTTGCAAATAGCATGAGGAATATTGATGACTAGAACCAATACTATTACCTGTTCATGCAGATCCGAGTCCCCATAGACCTAACAAATAACGATAAATGGCTGAAAATGGATGAAGGGGCTTGCGTACTGGTTTGCTGATCCTATATGCAGGTTCACTGCATTGCTCAGGATTAACGAAGTTGAAATCAACGTTTCGAGATATTGCAATGCATGCTTTCGGGACCACAACCGTGCCCACCGGAGCATCTATGAGGCAACCACAAGAGCCCAAGCTATATCAATATAATCACTTTATAATGGACTTGTGAGGATACTGTTTAACGAACACACCGAACAATGAACATGTCCCCACTCAAACACTCGCGTACTTCACGAACAAAAAAATCCATATTTGCGTCGCCCATCCCAATACTGATAACGGAAATAGGAGTTCCCTGATATCTCCCAGTGATCGTCAAAAAGCCTCTTTCAGATTCAAGCCGGAAAGGTTTTGGATTTGCATCGAGGAAGCTTGCAATAGTGCGCGCTCGCGATGGAGATCCAACCGTTATCTTTGACTATGCGATTAGCCGAGAATTGCAATCATACTTTTGGTGCTCACTATGCGATTCGCTACCTCACCCGGACGCAGTCCAAGATGGTATACTCGAAGGTCTGCAGTACGAGGGAAATCTGACCAGCATCGAGGGTAATTTGAACATAGAATATGGCGGAGAAGAAAAAAGATGACATACTAGCGTCAGTGAGTGTGTCTCTCATGGTTTGAATTGAAGGGACACAGGAAGTGATTCGCATAGGCAACTGCAGCCGGCAGGCATTTGTCCACATGACTAAGGGCGGCGCCACTCTTTGCCGTCCAGAGTTCTGGCAAGTGCTCATTAGCCCTCTTCAAGGACAGTCTAAGTTTTAATAACTTGTGGTAAAGGACACTTTTCTTTTAATGAGGCATTAGTACTTTAAATTCTATCGTCTGAAGGTCTACCTTCTTTGAGGTTGATGCCGGTAATAACTGCGGTCCTGAGCCTTGAGGTCTTAAGGACCTTCACGCTGACGTCCTTTCAGTGTTTCTGAAGCGGTATAAATAATTAAGAAAACTCTGGAGAACATCACGAGGTAACATTTGGTCCGACAATTGAACTTACCGACTTTTAACCCTAGTGATGCCCTTGACATCTACGGCACAAATTCAGTCTCTATGCCAACATTTGGAGCTTTCGGAGGGGTTATAGCCTTGGAAGGTTGATCATGAATGCTACATAGTCGTAAGATTTTGGAAGATTTATTCCCAGCCCCTCCAATATAACCAAGTTACTGCTTGTGTAGAAGCAGGTGCCCTATGCCTTCTTCACCCAATCACTTGCCATCTGGCCGTCCGTCAAATCACAATCGCTGTAATTCTTGGTGTACTCAATATAATGCGATTGGTTTGTCTCCGTCACTGCCACCAGCTATAACGAACCATTTCATTCATTGATATCAATAGGAGGATTTGAATAACTATGCATTCTATCTATGCGCGCTTCCTCGATAATCAAGTTCGATGTCGATATCAGTGCTAATCATATTCAATAATTCATTTGACATATATTGGCTTGGAATTGAGTGAATGAAGCTATATGCCTTCGTCTGATATACTTAGCAGAATCTGCCGATTCCTGCTTTAAATAGGACTGCCGTTTGTGTTTGCCTTTCTATGATATTTCGCCTTCAACCCACCACTCTCAACAACTTACTATGCTTATTACGTCTCGACACTGACAAATTCTAGCCAGAATCTCTGTTGATGGACTAATCACGGTCACAACCCCACCAGCACTGCACGGAAAGAAACCAGTTCGTTTGATGATTCCACTCTTCCAATTCTTTTCTAGAGGGTACTTTCTACTCACATAAAGCTCCGTGCGTAGGTAGATTTGGATCTGTTCTCACAGGAACAATGCACCATGTTTTTCGAACGGGTGTTAGCTTGTGAACGCACCTGTGTTCTTTTGTGAATGTGGTACCACACGAGGCGTATACAGCTGGATTCTGTGCCTTCAACTTTCCTAATCCTCTATCTCCCCGGACGTCGGAAATGAAGTGTCAGATGTTCATATCGCTCATAAAGCCGTCCCGGTTACTTCTTTGAGCGGTCTTTAGTGTGTGAGTGATCTCCCGTAGTGGGAAGGCCAACACATACTTCAGGGGTTCTGTCGCGGTCTTTATATTACATGTACAGAGAATCCATCATCTAAGAAGTTTTTCATGTCTCAAACTTACATAAAGTCCAGGAACAAGCTTCACATGAGAGGAATATCTCACATGTCAAACCAAAACTTGGCCGAAGCGCTAGAAGACACGAAGGATGTGTTCATTTCCAGAGGAAAGGAACCAGATCGCTAAAAAAATTTGGACACTGTGAGGATTGAACTCACGACCTCATGCAACGTTCTAAGAAGTGCGAAGCATGCGCGCTACCACTGTGCCAAGTGCCCATTAGTCGTAGCTCCCCGGATTCGACCATGCTTACTCTCCGTTCTAAGCCATGCTGAGTTACGGGAATAGCGAGTTTCGTACTGTCCATGTTCTCGAAAGTAAGTTGCGGTGCTCAGCTTCCAAGAGAACCTTACTCATCAATTAGGCTTCTAGCGGGCTTCGAACCATGCGCATTTCATTCTCAGAACTCTCGCATACCCTATTCGCAAAGTTCTTTTCTTTCTTTTAAGCTCAATCCCAGCGACAGGAAGTAGGACTGTCTTGAAAGGAAAGCCCGATGTACTACGCAAACTGGTTCAAGGTAGCTGTTTACTACGTTATGCTTTCGGCCAACTTGAGGTGCCGAGGTCTTGCATGGACAGACTCGGTGCAAATTGGCGACAAACAGCAGAAATTTCACAAGCTTTCGATGCCACGCAGTGGCTTGGATTGACTCGTTCGCGTGTCACTCTAACTTAAAGCCTTACTGGTAGATGTCGTTAAAATCATCGACAAAACGTCAAGTATAGTAGACATGGACGATCGCATCATTTTGAAGCTGTGGCGCTGTCTGAATGTTTATGAACGAAACGAGTATTGACATTTGCCGATTGTCTATAGTATCACAATGAGACATTGTGTCGAAGTTGAAGGTATTCAAGTAATTGCTTACCCGAATAAATAATTGAATAATTATCTGTAGTGAAAATAAATCAAATATGACTGACTGGATTTACGCCGAGTTTCAGGCCAGGTCTACTACGAGTAAACCAACGACATCGTAGCGCTCATAATCGCTTTTGAACCGAGCTGCAAAAGGCCGCAAAGGATATTCTTAAGGAGATGTCAAGTCTCGATTAGCCTGTCTGAGTCGGGACTACAGTCTCTTTTTTCTAGTCGACACCTAGAGTCATGTAGACCGAGTAAGATTTCCCAAGGCATAACGTTACCAAAGTGACTTACACCGCCTAGCTATAGTTTCAGACCTAGAGCCGAGCCCGTTTGAGCACGCAAAATGAGTCTGGTTATCATTCTTAGCGGCGGGTCTGAAAAAAAGTGCCAAAAGCAAACTCGGAGCAGATCCAGCAAGCCCGAGGGACGACCGAGGTGGGAAAGAGGTTCGGGCAGGTAGTCTTGGGAAAAAGGCTTCTTGCTTGACCTTTTGAAAGTTTATACCTGAGATCTTGAAGCGAAAAGGCTTTGTTCGGTTATGCTAGTAGTCGTTCTAAGTAAACAGTCGGGGAATAGAGGTGGAATGATACTTATGCAGCCTTGTTCAGACCGATTCAAGTTACGGGCTGGGCTGCTATCTATGATTTTCAGGCTCAAAGTTGCATCGAGTGATATACCTTCATACAGAGAATTATAATCACGGATGGTATCCAGAAATAAGATTATAATTATTTACTTACGGGAAACAGGCCTACAGGCGCTTCAAAGGTTCATTCCCTTCGATATCCGTCCAAAAGACCCTATATCCGCGAGGAATTAGAGTGGATGCCATTTCGCCCCCGTTCCCGTTGTACCAACGTCACTTAAACACCGACGGAAGGTGTCCTTGTCCAGATCAGGGTTCGATTCTTGTCGATTCTCCTATGGAGGTGAGACCTATAGAGAAATTTCCACATTCCATCTTCTGTGATATGTTCGGAACCTAGGATGGATCTTGTGATTTATTAATACATATGTAACAATTACTTACACGATCTCCTTTTTTCTCGTACTCGCCATACCCTTGATCTACGCCTAGTACTAGTAATACTCGCAGACGGAAGCCATAGCTAGTCCCACTGGAACAGAAGGAGAAGTCCAAAGACCGAGGCAATCATGGCATCATTTCGCACATCATCGCTGGGTTTTTCGTGGATCATTAAAATTCGAGTTGGGCACAAAGTTTCGATTGTTATGATGGCATGAACGCGTCATACCATATGCTCGGGATTTTTTCAGGGAGGGGTTTGGGCGGAGGGAATGATTAGTGGCAGATTTATGAAAGTTGGGTGGTGGACGGATAAACGGGTAGGAGGCCCGAAAAGGGTAAGAGGAGTGGAGCTCGATAACGAAAATGTTGGGTACAAATGACACTTTGGCGCTCAGGGTCTCGATACCGCAGCAGAGAAAAAGTCGACAGAAAAAGTTTCGCTTCTAATGAGGACACGTTTAGGGGGTCGCAGCAACTCGTGACTTTTGAGCCAAGTACGGACGAGTCGATTCAAAATTCTCGAGTGGAAGTGGTTCGCCAAAGCTGTCCGTACTGTAGATACGTATAGGAAAGTATGAGCACGCGCGTGTTTGACCACGTTGACTTGGGGTTGTTTTGGGTTCTAGCTCAAAGGTATGGTGGGAGACAGACTGCACGCGCGTATCCAAGTCGAGTTCTAATTCCTGGGTGGTCTCTGCTTCGTTTTATATAATAATTTCGTGCTTCTTGCTCTTTTACTCTAAATAGGATGATGTTTTCTGTCAAGTTCTAGTACGTGCATAATCATTACAACTTGAAGGAGTTCACTTCAATTCACTACGTACAACAGATACAAAGAGCTCAGACTAGAAGCAGGAAGTACACCCTGCACTGATAAGAAAGGCCATTCATTGATCAAGAAGCAACGGAATGCAAAGGAATTAGAACCGTGGAATGAATAGATACGACCTAATTTGAACGCTTGAATGGAATCCAATGGGTATCTATTCGACTCATTAATGTACGCGGTGAATAAACAGTATCTACTTAGCCTAAGTTTGAATAACCCAAGTACTGATTATTGAACACCGAAATCAAATTCGGTCTTTCTTATAATGAAAGGATTGAATGGATTATAGCATAGGACGGTGTTGGTTCCTCGATATTCAGTAAGTAATTACAAGTACTCAATAGGTCACTTGCAGCCTGCGGCATCCGTATGTATGCATTTCGTGATAACTATACATATGCATTGTACATATCTGCGGAGCTTTCATAGAACCGCTGTAATGAAGTCTATATAGAGTTCAGGAAACTCTCGAATCACAGCATTCTGGGACAACTATATGCCCATGCCCCGGATTCCGCTCCGCCAAGAGGTGGCACGTTTTGGCCACGTTAAAAATCTATAGTTCAGGTAAGTACTTGACCAGAATAGAATGTTATATCATATAGTACTTATCAAAGATCGTCCAAGACGATCAGATTGAAAAACAAAAACAGTGAACAAGTACTCTAATGTAGCCCAGTTCAAACTATTGCGGAAAACCAAAAGGCCGTCAAGAGAGGGCAAAAAAGCAGGGTTCGTATGCAGCCACCTTCAACTCTGACCCTGTAGGTCATCCTCGATTGCTCCAAGCTCGGGGAAGAGGATCGACGGACATAACTGATCCTATAAAGCTTATAATATTAAAATATCTATAGCATACGGCATTAACCACCGAGTCAGGTTTGCAAAGCTTGGTGCCACCCTCGAAGAGTAAAAGAGGCTCACGCCATGACCCACTGTACTAGAACCAACCTTACCTAGAACCTAGAAACTAGGGAAGGAGGCCGTGTGCAAACGCGTTTCGTATCCGTCCGTCCGTGTCCAGCCTCTGCAAACTGGACTCTTGGTCGGTCTGGTCTGGTCTGAACTTGAACCCAACGGAACGGGTGGAAACGTTAGCGTCATTGCGCAGTCGAGTAGGGAATCGTCCTTTGGATCCGTACAAGCCACAATCACGGTCCCAAACTTTTTGGCTTCCTCCGTCCAATCGAGTTGATACTGATCCCATTACTTTGACGCTGATATGTGGATATGGATATAGTAGCAAGGTATCAATCCAAGTGCGTAGCAGCAGCAGCCTGGGGAAGGACGTTATATATTTCGGGCATAGCGGGCACGGATAGTAACCGAAAAGTGAACGTACCCTCCTTGGCTACGGTACATCTAGACGTTGTCGACCATCACACATCCCTGTCACGGCGTACCTGTGTTTAACCCACCCAGTGTTACATGTAATGTACTAGGACGACTAGCCTGTGTACACCACACCACCGCGACCAAGGTGCCTTCTTATTTGATCGCCGATGTCGTCTCGAGCTAGCGCTCTGCAGTGCCTTTGGACTAGTACTATGTCGGATTGACAATCATCGTATGATTAATAAGGATGATGGGGGCGAGCGTGGTGGAGGCCTGGGTTAAGCGGTACCGGCGGTTTCTGAAAAGTGTTTTGATGATTGTTTGCTAGATATGTGTAGCTAGATAGTACATTATCCGGGAAAATAAGGAAAAATTGTGATTTTCACAAGTAACTAACGTTTGTTTGCGCTGGGAGAATAGTCTATTATCCCTTTTTTTTTTACCCTCTGAAACGCCATGGTTAACATGGTACCCAACTTAAGTGAAGCACAAACAACCAACCAAGTCAGCTGTCACCAATGTCACTGTCAGCTCCCGACCAACTTGAACTTGAAGGGACCCTGCAAGTCCAAGTCCAAACTATGACTACTTGTGATACGTATGTACCTACTTTGGATCGACGCGTTCAGGGTCCGACCTGAGGGAGGAAGGTGCAGGTGCAGGGTCGACGGCGACCTTTGGAGGATTTGCTCCTTTTAAGTAATTATAGCCACTGTGTAAGCAAGTAGGGGAATTTGAAGTCATTTCATATCGTTTTCTCCTTTTGTTTTTTCCCTCTTTTTTTTTGTGTTTTGTATCCGTGCCCCAAGTCGTACTCATGCCAAGTACATACGTATTCGCTACTTTGTCTTATCATGACTGTGTAGTATCTTCACACCCTCCGTCGGTCGTCGAGGGAGGTCATCTTGCGATTAGGTTTGCAAGTCGTTTGTTGATTTGAAATATGGGATATCTTGAACCGAATATCTAGCGATATTTTTACGTCGTCGTATCTTTGGACTTGCTTATTACGGATTTTGAAGGAGATCTGACAAGGAGAAGGATTGACTCCGACTCCGACTCTGACACGGACACGGAATCCGATGACGATTTGTTGATTCGCTCATCCATCACTGGAGCTAAGAATCTACTTGTTCATATAGAGTACATACAAG